TACAGGTGTGTTACAAGTGTGTGTTACAGGTGAGCATCAGGTATGTTACAGGCGTGTGTCAGGTACGTTACAGGTCTGTGGTACAGGTATGTTACAGGTGAGCGTTACAGGTGTGCGTTACAGGTGTGTGTCAGGTAAGTTACAGGTGTGAGTTGCGTGTATGTTGCAAGAGAGCATCAGGTGCGTTACAGGTGTATGTTCCAGGTGAACATGAGGTGGGCTACAGGTGTGTGTTACAGGTGAGCATCAGGTGACTGACTTGTCGTTGCAGAGCATGTTCTCCAGCACCAACTCGGCGGCTCTCTCGGGTGACTGCAGGTAATCCAGAGCTTTCTCCATCTCGTAGGCCATCTCTGGAGAAACAGCATCACTGACCAACCGCAGACACTGAACCAGCTGCAGGACGTCACGGCTCACCTCAGGGTCTGGAACACAGGTAACAGCAACAGGTGTGACATGTAACGGCTGGAGCTCTGATCTGACTGACGGACAGGAACACTTCATCCGAGTTGTGGATTCATGAATCATTTTAACTTAAGAATCCAAATGAGATCAAGTTATTTACAATGCTGATCAACTTCCGGCTGTTGTTAATGAGCATGACTGTAGACTAAGGAATGCTTCAGTAATGAGCTTCTGTGATGGAGACTTTAAGTTCTCCTCTGACAGCAGCTTCATGAGGCCTGTCGCACAGAACAGGTTTACTTTACAAGTCAGGCTTATTTCAGTTACTCTGACTTACTGTCAGGTTATTACAGCTTGAGAAAAATAATTTAGCTCAAGCTCGCTCACATTGTTATCACATGTTCTTGTCGATGTTCTCTCTGGTTGGGTTTGAGTCTCACTCTGACCTTGGTTGTCAGATGACTTTCTTTCTTTGTCATTGCAGATTTACACGGTACAGTGCACATCAGGATGAAATTTAAAACAAGAACAGAGACAAAATAGGGAATGTACATGTAAAATAATAAGCAGGGAACAAAAACAGGTGTGAACGGTAGAAAATATAAATGAAAGAAACTCTGTATGTAATCTGTCAGAATGAGACCAACACAACATACGGCACGGGTCTGTTCTAACTGTTGTATTGAGATGTTTGAGTTCTTCATGTTTCCAACAGTTATCTGGACTAACCGAGCCTGAAGCTACGCTTCATGGAGCTGCTGGACTTTAACCTGTTCGTCTGGACCAGGAGCTGCTGTTACCTTCAGCGACAGGCGTCTCCTCCTCCGAGAACAGGTACTGATCATAGGACAGGTACAGGTGATCCACAGCGAAGCAGGGCAGCAGGAACGAAACAAAACCCTGAAACACAATCAGATTCTCTTTCATCTGCAGCAGCTGGATGGAGCATCACGACTCCAGCTTGTACCAGAGTTCTTCTGGATAAAACCCACCACATCTGAACAAAGTTCTCCTCAGAATCAGCTGGTTCTAAGGAGGTCTAACTTCGACCACAGTTGGTTGTTTCCATATAGAACACACCTTCTGCAGGCAGCTCAGTGTTGATCTGAGGACGGGTTTAGAACAACACGGTTCCTGCAGGTTCTGGTAAAACCTTCATGGTGAATAGCTATGGTGTCACTTACCTTTCTGAGCAGACAGGCCATGCCGGTGTGCTGACTGACCGTCAGACCCAGAGGAGCCGACTGGGCCTCCTGGTACTGCAGGCAGCAGGAGTAGAACCGGGACCAGAACTCCACCTGCAGCTGTCGGTACTCCTCCTGAGAGAACTCAAACTCTGTGACGCTGCTCTGCAGCTGCAGGAGGAAACAGGACACGCTTCAGGTTTCAGCTCGGACACGAATCCGACGTATTTTACGAGAGAAAGCTTCAGAGCGCTGATCAGACCTCCATCTCCACAGCCTGGGTGACCTCCTTCTTCAGACCCTCCCAGGAAACACCCGAGATCCTCTCTGAGCCTCGCCGGTAGATCTGGAACACCCAACACCGAGTCAGAACAGAACCACCACAGACTGAGCCATCATCAGGTAGACACTCACCTGCAGGGCTTTAACGATGGCTGAAGCAGTAAATCTCAGCGGAGAGAACAGAACCTCCAGGTACGTCTCCTGTTCAGAAACAACACAACCAGATCAGAACTTCACCATTTCCTCCTCAGCTGCAAGTTCATCAGGTCCATTTATCAGATATTTTAAACTGCAGCTGAGACTCTGATACTTGTCTGGGATTGGTTTGTTACTGGTCCTACCCGGGGGTCCAGGTCCACTCCAATCTGGACTTCTTCTTCAGGGGGAGGCTGAACAAACACCTGGTTCCACTGACCTGCTGTGTTGCTGTGAAACACACACAGTTACACACTGACTGGACCAGAACCAGCATCAGGTTTAATAGATTGGAATGTGTGCAT